ACCATAGGTATTGATCAATACTGTTTATCATTTGTATTATTGATCCAATAACCTAATGAACCCCTGATCTGTTGTTCGTACATGATAAATTATGATGTCAAGAACGCATCTCCATAGAGCCTATGCTATAATGACCCCGTATAGCGCTGATTCACATAGTGCTCCCGTTTCCAGGCACGCACCCCCCACGCTAAATGGGGTATGCCTGTACATAACTACCAATGTAATACCATGTACAGCACTTTGTCAATCCCCTGCTTGATGAGGTCTCTGTGCCATGAGCAGGTTTTAACTTGAGTTGGTGGGTTCACAGTGCAGCGCGAGAACTGCTAGACTACCGCTACCCACATACACACTCCCACTTATCCATACACGCACAAAGACACAATTACAACAACTGTTGTTCGCCAGTAAGTGGTGGTGACGTCACCACGGCACTTGTGCCATGCTAGGGGCACTTTGAGGCCACGTGAAGTGTTGAAGGGCCATGGGTTAACTTGCTGAGATGACTGGGAAGTGCACCAACTATGCTCCCCATTGGGCCAATTTTCTGCGTTTTAGCTACCTGGTGCTCCACTCGTTGTTGTGAGCATCACTCCTCTGCCCTTCATTGTTGTGCCCGTTTCGGCTCATCTACCCGGCTGTAGAAAAGCTATTTGGGCATGCTTTGACTGGGCATGTAGGCGATATGACCCAACCAGTGCAGCCTTGCTTGCCAGAAGAGCTCACTGATGGGACTGTGTCCAGATCTGCAACGATGTGTAAACTCACACAATCTAGTCTGGTTAAACCCAGCATGGACCGTAGGCAGGCCAGCCTGAATGTTCAAACCAGCGCAGATATTGATTTAGAGGGCTTCACGTTTCACAAACATAGAGAAGGGAGGGCATAACTGTGACTGAGAAGACCCGAAGCTTCATGTGGAGTGACAGACCAGGTGGCTTCCACACAGCAATACACAGCTTATGAAGAGATAATACCGCTTTGGAGTGAGACATCAGCTGCCAAAATAGGCACACTGCCCAAGTTTGTAAACTTCTCCACTCTCGATTTAAAGCTTTCGTGACTGCAGGGATTCATCTTATTGGTTCTTTTGGTAAAGTCACGTGACTTTACCGAAAGAACCAAGAAGATGATTCTCCACTCTCGCAATTGCAATTACAAAGGCAAAGACCCATACATGTGTAGTGGGCTCAATGAGAAGTAGACGACGTAGTCGGAGGCACACTTATTTATTATAACGTTCACTCAGCACAGGCAAATGTATACAACACTCGAAGGGGTAACGACCCCTTCACCCGTCTAACAGGGAGACCCCAGTAACTCTAACCGGCTAGCCTACTCCCAGGTCCTCCACTCGAGAGCTAGGGGAGGCTAGCTGATCCAGCTCGGGCCAAGCTGGGATCACGGCACCTTTAGCCACCAGACCTGCTCTTACAAGAGCATCGGCTCTGGGCTCTCGGGGCCACGCCACTGGCTTGCCCTGGTCGGTCCTTAGAAGGACAGCGATCCAGGGGAGTCCCAGGGCCTATCTAGCCGGTCTTCTCTCTTCACTGGTTTAAGCTGAACACTGAACCCCGAGCCCACCGGCTCACCGCCTTATATAGCAACTCCCCCCCGAGGGGTGGGGCCGTGGGGGATCACAGCACCGTTACAGCCCCCCAGGGCTAACCGATGCGGACGTGAATGTAAGCATCCTTCCGCGTGCGGGCATAACCACCCCTTGTGTGTTTGTTCGCCCTCCCGTAACACTCCTACACATGTACAAGCACAAATACAGAATAACAGACACGCACACGTGGCAAGAGTCAGTGGAACTCACACATGAACGCCAGCAGTCTGACCACAGCTCCCTGCAGGGCGCTGATCATTTCAATGTCTTCTTCGCTGGGAAATGAGTGTGCAGCTCCCTTCCAAGTATCTATCCTGTGAGACCAGAACTAGCAGTGACCCACACAGCCAGTGCCTTACACAGCATCACATAGCATTGTCATCACACAGCCAGTGCCTTACACGGCATCATCATCTTAACACAGCAGTATCACATACAACATCATTACACACAGCATCATCATGCACAGTATCCTCACACACACATCATAACACACAGCATCATAGCACACAACCTGCGTCTCACTCAGCATTATCCCACAACCAGTGTCTTGCATAATACAGGCAGTCCTCGGCTTACAGAAGAGTTAGGTTCTCGAGAATGATCCGTAACGCGAATTTTTCGTATGTTGGACACTGAATAATTTTCCCGCGAAATCAAGATAAAATCCCATAGCCGGAAATAGTTGTGCCTGCCCTACCAGATTACGAGTTCGATTCCTCTCAGTACTGCATCGAGCTGTCGTCCATTTTGTTTCACTACCTGTATCGCTGTACATACGCCCTGCACTTCCTATGATTCTTTAATTTATACTCTTTGGCTCCTTCAGTAAAGTCACGTAGGTGAAAATAAAATAAAATTAAAATAAAAATTACTAAATCACGACGTTTTGAAGGCAACACAAGCTTCCGTCATCAGGTGGAACAACCCCAGCAAAAAAATGTTTTAATCTTGATTATTGTGGAAAAAAACTTCTAATCTAGAATTCTTTAATTTCATGGAATATCTACGCTAACACTATCCATAATTAAACTAATGAAACATACACTCTATCCAATTGTTTATGAATGCCACTAAACAGTTTAATGTTAATTGTTAACAAAAAGCAGTCACTTCCGAATGTTAATTTACCGTGCATTAGGCTAGGCCTAGACTTCTCCGATCGCTGTTGGCTGAGACCATATGCAATAGAAGTGTAATTGTGTTAAATAAAGTACATACCCTAAATAACTCATGAAATAAACTTAACATGAAGAAAACTATCAATAGAAACATGGGAAAAATATAGTTCTAAGCGTACAAAATAAACATTTACGTAATGCTACAATGGAAAAAAATACCTAACGCTACAAAAAAATTCCCATTTACCTTAATCCTAGTGAAGCTCGGGCTTGGTGAAGGCAGTGTTTTGGTGAAGCGAGGCATAAAGCGGGGCTTACGCCTCGCACCTCGGTATACGCCCACAACCTCAACAACGCTACACTATATTCTTGGTTCTTTCGGTAAAGTCACGTAGAAGGGAAATAATAAAATAATATAAATATAAAACAAAAAAAATTCTCACGACGTGAGATTATTTTATTATTTCCCTTCTACGTGACTTTACCGAAAGAACCAAGAATATGAATCCCTGCAGTCACGAAAGCTTTAAATCATGCTGCACTATTTGTGCTTACGTAACTAACGCAAAAATTCCGCAGATTTTGTTTTTTACATGATTAATGGGAGCATTTCCGTAAAGTGGGATTTCCACAAGTCGGGTCTTCCGCAACCCAGGACTTACTGTACAGTAATACCGGGGTTAACTAATCCTCTGGGAGCTATCCTCCTTCATAGAGGAGTGCAAGGAGGAGGCCTCTATCGCCACCCCTGGAGCCGGTGCAAGCATCGCATCTAATATTGCGAGAAGATACTGCTGAGCATGATCATTGTGGTGACTAACTGAAAAGTGGTGATCTGTGATTGCTGTGTTTTTGCATCTTAAAAGTGATTGTGGTGAGGTAGCATAATGCTACAGGCTCAAACAAATCGGTGTAAACTCGCAAAAGTTTGAAATCCTGTGGGACTCGCCATGCTTTGGTCAATAATGGGAATATCCCCATATCCTGAAGGATAGGCAAAGTAGCCTTAATGGCCAGCAGTGACTAAGGTTACCTTATCTAAGAGTGTGTGTGTGTGTGTGTTTAACACGTAGCAAGCTTTTAACGACCAATATTATCTATAATAGGTTCTTTTGGTTAGATCACGTGAACATAAATGTGTTGTTAAACCCGCCACCATCCGAAATTAGTAAGGGTTGTCACGTAAACAAAACATGCCAATTCGTCTGGATCACTGTTACACTACAGTCAGTAGAGCCTACCACGCCATCCCCAGAGCAGCACTGGGACACTGACCATGTCATGGTCCACCTAATTCCTGCATACAGGCAGAAACTAAAGCTCTGTAAACCTGCTGTGAGGACATTTAAACAGTGGACTAGTGAGGCTATAGAGGAATTGCGGGCGTGCTTGGACTGTACTGACTGGGATATGTTCACGACTGCTACCAATAGTCTGGATGAACTCACAGAGGCTGTGACGTCGTACATCAGCTTCTGTGAGGACTGCTGTATTCCAACACGCACCAGGGTGAACTTCAACAACAACAAGCCCTGGTTCTCAGCAAAGCTCAGAAGGTTGAGGTTGGAGAAGGAGGAAGCGTTTAGGAGTGGGGATAGAGACAGATTCAAGGAGTTGAAGAACAGGTTTAGCAAGGCGGTGAGAGAGGCTAAACCATTGTACTCAGAGAGACTAAAACACCAGTTCTCTGCTAACGACTCTGCTTCTGTCTGGAGAGGGCTCAGGCAGATCACCAACTACAAGCCCAGAGCCCCCCACACCACTAACGACTCCCGCCTAGCCAACGACCTGAACGAGTTCTACTGCAGATTTGAAAGACAATTGGACTGTCCTGAACTACCCCTTCCCACCCAAGAGGCCCCTATCCCACCCCACACTACAGAGACACTATCTCCATTCAGGAGGGAGAAGTTAAAAAACTTTTCAAGAGGCAGAACCCACACAAAGCAGCTGGGCCGGACTCTGTCTCTCCAGCCACCCTCAGGCACTGCGCGGACCAGCTGTCTCCAGTGTTCACCAGCATCTTTACCACCTCCATGGAGACATGTCATGTACCAGCCTGTCTCAAGTCCTCCATCATCATTCCAGTGCCCAAAAAGCCAAGGCCAACAGGATTAAATGATTACAGACCCATCGCCCTTACCTCCGTGGTAATGAAGTCTTTTGAGCGCCTGGTCCTGGCACACCTCAAAGCCATCACAGACCCTCTACTGGACCCCCTTCAGTTTGCCTACAGAGCCAACAGGTCTGTGGATGACGCAGTTAACATGGCCCTCCACTTCACCCTACAGCATCTGGACTCCACAGCATCCTACGCCAGGATCCTGTTTGTGGACTTTAGCTCGGCTTTTAACACCATCATTCCTAGCCTGCTTCAGGACAAGCTCTCCCTGCTGAACGTGCCAGACTCCACCTGCAGATGGATCACAGACTTCCTGTCTGACAGGAAGCAGTGTGTCAAACTGGGATCACAAGTTTTTGCCGCCAGGTCAATCAGCACCGGATCTCCTCAGGGCTGCGTCCTTTCACCTTTGCTCTTCACCCTGTACACCAACAGCTGCACCTCCAGTCACCAGTCCGTCAAACTCTTGAAGTTTGCGGACGACACCACCCTCATTGGGCTAATCTCTGATGGGGATGAGTCTGACTATAGGAGGGAAGCTGACAACCTGGTGACCTGGTGTAGCCAGAACAACCTGGAGCTTAATGCTCTTAAGACCGTGGAGATGGTTGTGGACTTCAGGAAGAATACAGCCCCACTCACCCCCATCACCCTGTGCGACTCCCCAGTCACCAATGTTGAGTCATTCCGCTTCCTGGGCACTATTCTTTCCCAGGACCTCAAGTGGGAACTGAACATCAGCTCCCTTATCAAGAGAGCTCAACAAAGAATGTACTTCTTACGGCAGCTGAATAAATTTAATCTGCCAAAGACAATGATGGTGTGCTTCTATACAGCCAT